CACACACACGGACCCGTCCCGGCCCCCCCCCGCCCCCCAGGTCTGCGGAGCGGTTTCGTGCGGTGCGGCCCGGCCGGCGACGCTGCCCTCGGCGGGAAGGCTGCCTGCGAGCGTCGTCTCCCCGCGCCCCGACGGCCATGCTGCGGCGGCTCCTCCTCCTCCTCCTGGGGACGCTGCTGCTCAGCGTCTGCCTCGACGGTAAGCCAGGTGCCCCAGGCCGGCCTCCGGGGGGCAGAGAGGGGGAGAGAGAGGGAGGGAGGGAGGGAGGGTGGGCGGCTGGGAATCCCTTGGTGGGGGGGGAAGGGGGGGAGACCTTCGGAGGGTAAGCCAGCGCCTTCCTGGGCTAGAAAGGTGCGAAGGAACACCGGGAAAGGAACCGAGGAAAGCCCTAGACAGGGCCCCCGTTGGCGGTGGGGTGGTGGTGGTGGTTAAAATCACTTTAATTTTTTAAAGGGGGCAGTTACATTAAAGTAAATTAAACTAATTTCCCGCCCAATGCCCACAACTCCTAATATTCTTCTTGACAAGTTGATAAAATGAGATTTGGATCCTGTGGGTGTTGGGTGGATCCCTAACTGGTTGACAGATCGCACCAACACAGTGCTTGCCAATGGTTCCTCAGAAGAATCATGTCCAGATCTCCTGAAGTTAGACCTAGTTACTCTGCCCCGGTTAGACCTCACCCTAAAGTATTGTGTTCAGTTTTGGGCACCACAATTTAAGGAGGATGTTGACAAGCTGGAACGTGCCCAGAGGAGGGCAAGGAAGATGGCTGAGGGGTCTGGAGACCAAGTCCTAGGAGGAAAAGTTGAAGGAGCTGGGTATGTTTAGCCTGGAGAGGAGACGACGGAGAGGTGATAACGATAACCATCTTCAAGGACTTGAAGGGCTGTCAGATAGAGGATGCGGCGGAGTTGTCTTCTGTTGCCCCAGAAGGTCAGACTGGAACCAACAGGTTGAAATTAAATCAGAAGAGCTTTTGGATAAACTTTAGGAAGGACTTCCTGACAGTTGGAGCTGTTCCTCAGTGGAACAGGCTTCCTGGGGAGGTGGTGGGCTGGTGGTAGAGTTACAGGCCTCACCTGGAGTCCTATGTCCAGTTTTGGGCACCACATTGTAGGAAGAACGTTGACAAGCTCGAGCGTGTCCAGAAGAGGGCAACCAGGATGGTGAGAGGGTTGGAATCCAAGTCTTACGAGGAAAGGCTGAAAGAGTTGGGTCTGTTTGGCCTGAGAAAGAGAAGGCTTAGAGGGGACATGATTGCAGTCTTCAAGTATTTGAAGGGCTGTCACGTAGAAGCAGAAGAGATTAGGAAAAGATGGCCAGAATACACAGAAGAACTGTACAAGAAAGACCTCGATGTCCTTGACAACCACGACGGTATAATCACTGACCTCGAGCCAGACATCCTGGAATGTGAAGTTAAATGGGCCTTAGAAAGCATTACTAACAACAAAGCTAGTGGAGGTGATGGTATTCCAGCTGAGCTATTCAAAGTCTTAGAAGATGATGCTGTTAAAGTGCTGCACGCCATTTGCCAGCAAATTTGGAAAACGCAACAGTGGCCACAGGATTGGAAAAGATCAGTATACATTCCAATCCCAAAGAAGGGCAATGCCAAGGAATGTTCAAACTATCGCACAATTGCACTCATATCACACGCTAGCAAGGTCATGCTCAAGATCCTACAAGCTAGGCTTCAACAGTACATGGATAGAGAACTGCCAGAAGTACAAGCTGGGTTTCGAAGAGGTAGAGGAACGAGAGATCATATTGCCAACATTCGCTGGATTATGGAGAAAGCAAGAGAGTACCAGAAAAATATCTACTTCTGCTTCATTGACTATGCTAAAGCCTTTGACTGTGTGGATCACAACAAACTATGGCAAGTCCTTAAAGAGATGGGAGTACCAGACCACCTCACATGTCTCTTGAGAAACCTGTATAAGGGTCAAGAAGCAACAGTTATAACCCGATATGGAACAACTGATTGGTTTAGCACAGGAAAAGGTGTACAACAAGGATTTGCTTGCTTATTTAATATATATGCAGAGTACATCATGCGAAATGCTGGCCTGGATGAATCACAAGCGGGAATTAAGATTGCTGGGGGAAAGATCAACAACCTCAGATATGCAGACAATACCACTCTAATGGCAGAAAGTGAAGAGGACCTCAAGGGCCTCTTGCTCAGGGTAAAAGAGATGAGTACAAAAGTGGGCTTGAAGTTCAACATCAAAAAAACTAAGATCATGGCATCCGGCCCCATCACTCTTTGGCGAATAGAAGGGGAAGTCGTGGAAGTAGTGACAGACTTCACGTTCCTGGCATCCCAGATCACCGCAGACTGCGGTGGGAGGAAAGCGATGGCAAACCTAAACAGCATGATAAAAAGTAGAGACATCACCCTGCCAACAAAAGTCCACATGGTCAAAGCAATGGTATTCCCAGTAGTCATGTATGGCTGCGAGAGTTGGACTATAAGGAAGGCCGAGCGCCGAAGAATAGATTCTTTTGAACTATGGTGCTGGAGAAGACTCTTGAGAGTCCCTTGGACTGCAAGAAGAACAAATCAGTCAAGCCTAAAAGAAATCAACCCTGACTGTTCCCTGGAAGGCCAGATAATGAAACTGAAGCTCAAAGGCTCTGGCCACCAAATGAGAAGGGAGCCCTCACTGGAGAAGACCCTGATGCTGGGAAAGATTGAAGGTCAAAGAAGACGGGGACGGCAAAGGATGAGATGGTTGGACAGTGTCATAGATGCAACGAACATGAAGTTGAGCAAACTTCAGATGACGGCGGAAGACAGGAAGGCCTGGCGTGATCTGGTCCATGGGGTCGCAAAGAGGCGGACTCGACTGTGCGACTGAAGAACAACAACACGTAGAAGATGGAGCCAATCTCTTCTTTCTTGCTCCGGATTGCAAGACTCAATCTAATGGGTGGAAATGACAAGGGAGTCGATACCGACTAAATATCAGGATAAACTTCCTAACTGTAAGGGTGGTCGAGCAGTGGAACAGTCTGCCTCCAAAGGGGGTGGATGCTCCTTCGCTGGTGTCAGGTTCTACAGCCAACAACTGAGTACAGGCTTATCAGAAAGGTTATACTTTATTGCAGAGCCATAGATGCATTAACAAAGTCACTGTTAGGAATGGCGTCGCCCCTACAAGCATAATGGGATATAGGGTATTCGTATGCGCACCCCCCCTTCCTTAGGCCAACTGGCCACATTCCCGCGAGAGAGAGAAGGCGCCCCAGGCCGTTAGAGCCAAAGCTGAGAACCGAAAGTGCTCCCACGTTTCCCCTGAATCCCAGATACTACACACCACCTGCAAGGCCATAGATAAGCAAGTATTACAGAAGCAAAGCAGTGGTACTCGGTACACAGGCAAGCGAATACCCCACCCCCAACCCTTATGGCAGCATAGCTGACATTCTGCCCTCTCAAAACCCAGCTTCTCCCATCCACTCCGGGAGGTCTCCCGGTCATTCCGGGAAATCTCCCGGTTTGTCCGGGAAGTCGCGATGAAACTTGCGCAACAACCGAGGGGCCCGAATATCCCCTACTTCCACCCACTCGAGGTGCTGGGAACCAAAGTCCAGCCATTCAACTAAATACCGCAATTTCCCATGTTTAATCTTTGAGTCCAAAATTCTAGAAATCTCATAATGTTCCTCGCCCTCAATCAAGATGGGGGGGCACCGGCTGCGATCGACGCCGGGGATTCGACCCAGAATCCCGTTTCAGGAGGCTGAAATGAAATAATACAGAATGAAGGTTTCTCAAGTTCTTAGGTAGATACAAATCCACAGCCACATCATTGATCACCCTTTTCACTTTGAAAGGACCAAGATATTTCCAACCAAGTTTTCAGCTCGGTCTTAGGACCTTAATATTTTTAGTAGATACATAGAGTCCCCAGGCTTCAGAGCCCACCCCTCCACCCTCCTCTTGTCAGCCTGACTCTTGTACGCCTCCTTGGTAGCATCCAAAGTTTTGCAAAGGAGTGGCCACGATTCCTTTAACCGTTGACACCAATGAGTTGCATCCCCCGGCCCCAAGTCATTGTTTCCTTCCAGGAAAGGCACAGGCGGGCTATCATAGCCATACAAAGCCTTAAACGGGGACAATCCGGTCAAGGAATGGCAAGTGTTGTTATAACAGAATTCGGCCAGGGGCAGCTGATCCACCCAATCATCCTGTTGATAATTGGTGAAGCAACGGAGGTATTGTTCCAAAGTTTGATTAACCCGTTCTGTCTGACCGTCAGTCTCTGGGTGATAGGCGCTGCTCAAGCCCCGTTCCCCCCCCATCAGTTTCATCAGCTCCCCCCAAAGCCGGGAAACGAATTGGGTTCCCCTGTCAGACACCACCTTGGCTGGGAGCATGTGCAAATGGACTACGTGTAAAAGAAACGCTTTGGCCAGTGCTTTTGCCGTGGGCAGGAATGCAAACGGAATGAAGTGTGCTTGTTTGGAAAATAAATCCACTACCACCCAAATGACAGTCATTGACTTGGTAGGTGGGAGATCCATAATAAAGTCCATGGATATCACCTCCCAGGGTCAGCTCGGAGTTGGATGAGGGTGTAACAAACCCTGGGTTTTTCCCAGCCTGGATTTACTCATGGCACAGATTTGGCAAGACTTGACAAATGAAGATAAATCCTTCCTCATTTGCGGCCACCAGAACTGCCGCTGCAGGAGTTGAAGGGACTTAACAAAACCCGGGTGTCCCGACAATTTAGATCCATGCACAGCTTGTAACACCTCCCCCCCAAGAGAGAACGGAACAAACAGTTTATGTCCACGGTACCAACAGCCGTCGGCCCAAAGTTCGAAGTCCATCTACTACCGCCTTGTCGGCCTCCGAGAAGGCGGAGGCGAATTTGCTGTGCTATGCCCCCCCCCCAGTTTGTCCCACTGGGGAGTATCAGGTGGCCATGACACGGGGGGGGGGGAGGCAGCGAGGTGAGTCTGGCTACGTGTCGTCACCGCTCCACCCAGATGAGTGTCAGAACCCACAGCTAACAATGAAGTACATGCATTCAGGAACGGTTATACTTTTATTGCAAAGCTATAGATGCAGTAACACAGGCACTGTTAAGAATGGCCACAGCCAGTAGAGCATAATAGGATATAGGGTATTTGTGTGCAACCCCCCCCCCCATGGCATTGGCCAACTAGGCACCCTC